TTTTTTTCTTTTGAAAATAATCAGTGTGCGCTTAAAGGTAGCCTTGATGGAGCGTAAAACCACTTTTATCAGTTTCTTATACAATTCAAAAATAATAGCACAGGCCATTCGATTAAATGTCATTATAGGCGTCCTCTCATTTTATGCGTTCCAATCTTTATTCAATATTTCATGTGAAACATGTATGGTGTTCATGAGTTGGAAAGGGTAGCCATTGCATATCCCCAAACTTCCCCACATTGTAAAGAGTAGTTCACGGAAACAATACGACCTATATGGATAATTTTCACGTGCGTTTCGGTCGCACTCAAAACGAAATGATAAAGATTCTAGAAGCTGAGTTCACACGAAAGTTAATCACCCCCTAGCAGCTCCAGGATTGCTAATCTGATTGCATACAGTGAGAATCCTGGTGGAGTTGGATCAATCTACGTAGAATGATAGTTTCGTTGGGAACGCACCCTTAGATTCCGTTTGTAGGGTAGACCGGGGCTAAACGCCCCCCTTAAGCAAGAAATATCACAATTTTCCCTGCTGAAGGTATAGACCGTTCAAAGTGGGTGTTAACTATGAAGGGCTGTCTAGATTACAAACTGATACTAACACTTTTGGAAACAAACAAAAGAAAAACCTTATAGGTAAAAAATAGGTAAATTATAAAATCGGCCTTTTTGCCCCATGGCTGGGGACATTACGCCTCGCACCACGGGGCTAAACGCCCACCATGGGCGTCTTGCCCCAAACTATAGGCGTTATGCCCCGCCTTTGTACAAAGGAAAATAAAATCAAATTATATTTCTACGAGACAACTTAGTAAGCCTTTAAAAGCAACATATAATATTTTGGGGTACTGAGATAATAAAAATACCCATCAAATTTATTCAGAATGAGCTGCAATTCTTCTCTTTACGACAGGGCACTGTGATACTTCCAAAATTAAGTTCCTAGTACAGCCACTTGCTTTGGCTTTTCCCCATATAAGTGTTATAACTGATGATATACAATAAAAAAACATGCAGGAAAGAACACTTCCGCATCTTTTTAGAATTATTTTTTATTTAAAAACGAAAGGGGGGCAAAACGCCCAGTGATCGGGGCAAAACGCCCACTATAGGCGTTTTGCCCCATATCAGCATGGGCGTTTTGCCCCAAAGTGAGATTTTGTATATTTTTTCAAAATTCGGCGGGAAAGGTTTTATACAATCTGACTTCATCGAAACTTGTATGGAGGTCTGATACCATCCTATCTGTCACCAACAAAGTTTTTTGAATTCGTGCATTTGGTAGATGGTGTCACTGATGTTAAGGAAAAGGCTAAATAACAGTAAACAAGGCAAAAATGAACAAATTAT